GTGCAGACAGCAGAAATAGGTATGACGGAAAATGTTGGTGACAGCGGCCTTCGCTTTGAGATCTGGTTCCGTCGGAGGAAGTCCCAGGACACGTTTATACTCCAGGCCAGCTCGGCTGAGGTCAAGGCAGTGTGGACGGCTATTATTGGGAAGATCCTCTGGAGGCAGGCCCTCAGAAACAGAGGTGGGTTAAAAAGTCAAAAACAAAAAGTGTTTAAAATGTGTCTATACGGCACATAAAATCTGTGACTATTTTTATGCTGATTTACTAGAAACAAATAAAAAATATTGCGAAGTTGTTCACTATGACAAGACAATGTTAGGAGAAGACAGTGGATTTGTTGCCACCTATGACAAAGATGTGAAAAAAGCTTTTTCTGTCCTACCATCACAAACTGAAAACATGTTTTACTGAACTCTTCATGTGCAATATTGTCAAATTCTTTCTGCAACACACCCTCCAATAAGGCTCAGAGTGAAACAACGCATCTCATGTCACTGCTATGCATGGCAGAGGATGTGTCATGCTGCGGATCTAAGCTTTTTCTTACTGTTTTATTTATTATTTCATCCAGACAATAATAAATATGAACAATTCACATAACAACTAAAATAAATGTCGAAAAGGGAACAAAAAAATACAATGTTAAGTGACTTTTAACTGATATATTCCTTATGGATTGCATGACCTCTCGTGACCTCTACCAGAAAAAAAGAAAAATGGGTCTTCATTTGGTTGTTCAGCAGGATGATAATTCAAAACATATCATTGTATTATATTTCTATACTTTATTTTGAACTGGATCCAAGTTATTCTTCCAGTATCAATTTTCTTCCATCTGACATGGATTCATTTCATCCTTTCCTATTTCTTGTGCTAAGATCAATAATAATCTTGGAGCTTATTTTAACTTTCATACAGAAGTCTCAAAAAATAATTTTGAATTCCTGTGACTGTAACCTGATTCTACTCAGGTGAAAATAATAGTACATTTTTGTTTTGTTTGTGTTTTTATTCACTGTAGAGCTGCGTATGAAGGAGATGGTTTCCATGGGCATTGGTAATAAACCTTTCATGGACATTAAGCCCAGTGATGCAGCCATCAGTGATAGAGCCATTGACTACATCATGAAGGGGACAGGTGAGCTGTGCTCTTTTAATCTGATTTTACTCCCTTTTCCTTTGAAGCCTTAAAGGTGCGGTTTAGATTTCTGTAGGTTCTGTAGATGCGGTGTGAGTGGTCAACATTTTATCCACACTATCAGTCTTATTAGACTCATTCAGATATCTTCATTTTCAGCCAGTCAAAGTGAATATGTAAAGAAAATGTGTAAATATGTCAAACAAATCAAACGTTTGAGAATTAATGTTATCAACAGCCAGTTACTCTCTGGCGAGCTACTGGACAAACTTTCTGATCAGACTCTACAGAACCGCTGCATCAAAAATCAGAAAATTTAAACACTTAAAAGTATCTTCAAAAATTACTTTTCAATGCCTTTTCAATTCAGGCGTCGTGTGTGTCCTCTTTTCCACCCACAGAGTGTCGGACGCGGGCGTCCATCGCGGTGTCGTCGTTCGAGCACTGCGCTGCGTTTAAGAGGCCCCACTCCACCATCTCCAACAGCAGCACCTCCTCCTCCAGCAGCCAGTCGTCCTCCTCCCTGCTGGGCTCCCTCAACCTCCATCTGTACTCCTCGCCGTCCCACCCTCACCCACATCTGTACCCCATGGGCAGCGTGGCGTCCTTCGCCCTGTGGCCGTATGACTGCATAGAGGAGGACGAGCTGGAGCAGGACGTCGTGAGCAGCAGGCCCTCCATGAGTCAGTGGCAACTTGATTTGAATGTTTAGATAAAATAGTCCAAAGTCAGATTTTATTACAGTGCTCTTTTTTCATTATCGTTTCCAATTGACTTTTTCTTCTCTCTTTTTTTTTAACTCTCAAAGAATTTTGCTGAAAAATTGACAGTATATAAAAACATAATAATGTTTTTCAGAGTTTTGTTCTCCAAAGTGTCTTCTTTGGTGCTGCCACTAGGAGCCGCCAAAGGCAAACTCATGCTGAAGCTTTAGCGCCACCGCAGTCCGTGTGAAAAATGAAAACTTTTCAAATATTTTATACTTTCATTCTTGAATAATCTACTCTCTGTGTTTCTGTGCCAGTCACTGAAAGCTCAGAGACGTCCTCCTCCCAGTGCAACTCCAGTGACAGCGTAACAGGGTTGAGCAGCCTCACCATCCCTGGACCTCCCAGCGTCATCATGGAGACGTTCAACAACAACAACGAGTCACCTGGTTTCCTCTGCTCCTCCATGCCTCCTCCCTCCATCGCCTCCACGCCGATGTTCCTCAAAGATGAAGACCTCCAGCCGCAGGGCACCAAGTTCATCACAGCAGTAAGTGTCTGACTGATTGTTATTTTAAGGCCTTTTTCTCTGAAATGAGAGTTTGCAAATGCACCACATTTCTCTAGGGATTTTTTTTCCAATGGCGCTCTTTAGTTGGGGGTCATGTCTTCTGACTTGCTCCAGTCCAAAAAACATTTTTGCCCCTGGTGCTACAAAATAAAATTTGTCTAGAGCTGCAAAACCTACATGAAGCTTAGAGGGAAAAATTGCTTACTGAGTTTTAGGAATATCTGATATTTAAAATGTGTCCAATTTTACTTCTCTTTTGGATTTTGAACAAGTGTTACTGAAAGATAATGAAAAGCTTATGTAACATTATTTGCTCATTTTTGGCAAAACTAACACCACAATGTGGAGCCTGAGCAGTCGCAATCTGCTCTGCAAATCTCTGCTGAAGTGGAATACAGTTTGATGAAAGTGTTGATCCAACATTTCGCGTAAATCTTTACAGTAAGAGGAGGATAAATTAGGTAAGTTTGTAAATACATGGGAAATTTTGCCACACATTCATGCTCTTTATTTTTGTACTTTCTGTAGCATTCTATGAAAATTAACAGAATGAAAATACAGAGTTTGCAGAAGAGCAAACAGTTAAATGACACTGCAAGTCATGTCATCGATTTTTGGCCATTTGTGTTTTCTGGAAGAAACTTTGCTTTTAAGAGCCACACAAAAAAAGTCAGAAGAAAGAACAGAGGATAGTTTTTAGTATTTTAACATTTAACAAGCCTAAAGATAACATTGTTTGGATGCAGCCACTGATAACAGCCAGAGTATGACTCAGATTTAAACAGTTTTAAATATGTGACCCCCATAAAAAAGCTTCAATGTTCCTTCTTTTTAACCTGTAACTAAGGTCACACACCGTTATCATATTCAGGCATTTTAAACTGAGGCTTTTACTGATGTTGTTGAATTGTTCCTTTTTTTTTTCAAGGACTGATTGTAGCAAACTACAAAGGACTTTAAAAGCGAGAATTGGATCCAGTTATTGTCGTTTTGACTACTAATACTAATAATAATTGCAATAATAATTATTAATATATAATTATTGTTGTTGTTGTTATTATTATTGTTAATTATTTGACAAGCATATACTCACAGTTTTGGGTTGTTATTAAAAGAACTAGCTCTACTGTAAATACATTTTCCTCCCGGAGGTTCAGATTGGGGCTTCAGATTCTCCTTGAGGCTTTAGATTCTCACACCACTTCTATTTACGCTGCTGTTCTGCTTTTACCAGAGAGCAGCCACTCATGTAGCGGTCGGCCTCTCCACAGTAGTCTGACTGGTGGGGTTTAGCCCTGTAAGTAACCTCAGTCACAGCAGTGGACATTTTTTATTGTTCTCTTTCCAACCACATTAACTCCTGACCTGAATACTAATCTAAGTAAAAGTGTTTTCTTTTTCGTTGCTGTCGATGTTCATGCTGCATGATGGTGTGTACAGATGAATTCAGTAGACTCTGATCCTGTGATCCTGTAAGCTTCTGGCTTTCTGTTGCCTCATTCTTCTGTTTTTCTCTGTGGAGCCAACATCAGGAGGAAAACACAGCCCACGAAAGAAGCTCGTGTTCTGCATGTTGGAACACACGCATGCTGCTGTGCATCTGTGTTTTATGGGCTTGCAGTGCATATAAATGTATTGTTTTTGAATAAAATCATTCAACCTCTTCAACCGACTGCTGTAGGAATGAAAAGAACAATATATGTATTTTTTTTAAAATAGTCAACTTCTCTGTCTTTGCCCTGATTTGAAAACACAAATATCGTTATATTTATTTTTATTTTGTTGTATTAATTCATAATTTCTTCTTACTGTTTAGGCATATATTTATATTATGTTAGGGTGTATATGTATTTTTTTACATTTTTATTTTTTTTACATTTTATTTTCATCCTTGATCTCCTTACAAATAAAAAATATTCCATGCACTTTTTGACATGATTCTTATTTTCAGTTTTAGTTAGTTTTAGAGTATTTTATACAAATTACACACTTATAAACTAAAGGAAAATTCAAATGTGAATGCAAGCAACTAGATCTTTCTAAAATAGTATTTAAATCAAAAGTAAAGAGCAGTAATAAAGAGATTAAGCGGACTGAAGGAGGTTCAAAAGGCAGGAGTTTGTGAGTGAAAATTTGAGAATTCCTGAATGTAGTGAAAACGCTTTGGAGACAAGATAAAACGCCTTACAAGTGCACACCGTTTTCCATTTAAATGAATATAAAGTAAAACACAAATCTATTATTATTCTCCAGAATTGTCTTTAGCTGTTTATTGTTGCACAGTAACACAGAAACTAGTACTTATCTCTATAGGAGAAAGCTTTATGATTATTACTTTCATTAATAATAATGTTATGCAACTAATACTTTTTTATGCACAACCTCAAATGAAGCTTATTATAGCGACACTCACACATCACATTACCTTGACAGGATATTTCCCTTCCAAAATCTCTGCTTTGTCCTTGTTTAGCATGTCCAGCGTTGCATGTTCACTTAAGTTGATGTTTTACTGCTGCGTCGTCTGTATTTTTGATGTATAGTCATTGAAGCTATTAATGTTTCTTATCTGTCTCTCTCTCTCTCTCTCTCTTTTTTTTTTTTTGCAGTTGTGAAGTTTTCAAGTCATACAGCAAATTTCACACAAGAGCAAAAAGAAGATGAAAATAAGAACGACTTGATTTTTGGAGCACTAAGACTTTTATTAAAAAATAGCATTTTATGATAATACTGTAAATCACTTAGACTAACACATGATGTTAAGTTTCTATATGTCCGTGTCATGGTACGTCAAAGGTCTGTACATTTGATTCAATGAGATAGTTATGTGTTTATATTGTAGGATGTATTTTGCAAATAAAGTAGAAGACACTTTCAGACAGTGCCGCATTGTTTTCCCGTGACTTTTGAGTTACACGTTTGTACAGATTAATAAAACGTTTAAAGCTGTTTCCGCGTTTATTCATCCAACACATTAAAGATTGCAGCTGAAGCTTTTTATTTTCATTTTTTTTGGCTAATGAAGACAGAAGTGTGAATATGCCTCAGAGCAAGTGACACAAATATTTCCACTGCTGGAGTGTGAACGCAAAACCACACAGAGCCCTCTGCGTACAGACACAATGCAAAAGGAGACCCGATATTACCGTTACTCAAAAGAGATGCAGAGTTAAAATGTGGTTTATGCTCTCACAGGGAAACTGACGCTTGGTTACCGCTGCTTTTGCGTTTTGCAGTCCATGTCAAAACATAAAACGCAGACCGCAGCCCGGGCTGCGCTGCAGGGGCTTTTGCTCTAGCACTGGCAACAGAGTCAAAGCCACACATGAAAGCATAAAAGGTGTCACTGTCTCGTCTAAAAGCACGCAGTTCCACAGTTCCCTGTGCACAAATAGCTTCACTGAAACACGAATAATTTAAACAATGCAAGCAGTTTGATCATTTAGCATTTTTCTCTTTGATGAACCAGAAGCAGAGGATTGCAGAGAGGAAAACCTCCAGTCCCAACACGCACAGCCCCATCACTTCAATCTGTCACAAACAAAAAACATCATTAATATGCAACACTGTCACAATGGAAATATCCATGAGATTCTGCTGATAAATCTATTGGAATCAGTGTTGGTGTTATTCTCACTCTCAGAAATGGCTCATTTTGTTCATTCCACCGAGCCAGGTCGACACTGATCAGAACTGCACCAATAACGGCTACAACAATGCAGCCGCAGTTAACTGCAATTGACACCTGCGATGACAAAAAGTAATGCATAGTTTTTTGTTGTTTTTTTTTTTTTTTTTAGATAACTACTGTTGCTTAAAAAAGTTGTCAAACTCTCACCATCAGCAACGCTGGATATTTGAACAACAAGTTGGAAACAAGTCCGGCTATTACAAACTGTAGGGAAGGAGAATGTAGACGTAAGACTTTCTTTTATTGCTATATATATATTTATGTATTTATTTATTTTTTTTTATGATTTAGTTCTGGTTGGAACAATGACTTACAAGGGCTCCGGTCAGCTGTGAGACTCTGAAAAGAGAGAAAAGGGAGTGATGCATTTCCTGAGTTGCAGCAAAGAGTATACCCACTGCCACACTGAGGATGCCGCTCATTATCTGCAGAGACTGAGAGGAAAACGTTGAAAGTTAGTGTCAGCTAACACACAAAGCAGTCTTATATGAGGTCAGATTGAAGATAAAGTAGATAACGGCAAGTAATACTATTTATAACATTCTTCAGTGGAAATATGCTCAGCATTTAAGGAACTAGCAGTTTTGAGGCAAGCAGTAGGAGTTGTGTGTTAGATGTACAATAAGAAATGGAAAATAATATTCTCTATTATTTTGCAAGCAAAAAATAACCTTGTGATATTTATGAAGAGGTGATAAGAAAAAAACAACCTGCTGATCAGTGTCTGAGATGTATGTATGTCGCTTCTTTGTACAGTGGTGGGGTAATAAGTTTGCAGAAGTTGCTGGTGAGAAAATGAAGTTGTTCTGGAGCAAGCTGCTCATTAGAATGAAATGCAAAAACCCCGAGAAACAAATGCGATGAACAGAGAAGTATGTATCGATATAAATATGTTTGAAAGCAGAACAAATTATTGAAGGACAAATAAAGAAGTTTATTTCTCACAACCTTTTTTTTGATTCACTAGAAATAAGTCATCAATGATTTAAATACAAATGGAAATTCACATAATGTGCAAAAGTAAAAACTGAAATATGGATTATTTCAACATGTTTCTCAGCTATTGAACAGGTTTGTGTTATAGAATTGGACTACAGCATGATGTTGCTGAGGGGCAATATCATGCTGTTGCCCCACAGCATGATGGGGCAACAGCATGCTGTGGTTTGTAGTAACTTCAAAATAGACTTCTGACGACTTTCTGTCAACAATAGCTGTTCTCTTGTCACTCTCCCGTAATGTCCAGAGGATTTCACACGTATGATCTCTTTCTTTCCAGCTGAAAGAAAGAGATCATTTATCTAAACAGATCTCTGCAGCCCCTCCAGAGTAACTATGGATTCTTGTGGCAGAATAAAATTGAGTGAACTGTACAACACGACAGTTTTCTTTTCTCAAATGCAGTTGTGCGCTTGTGGAGTGCTGGACTAAAAAATGTGTGAAACTTCAGTCTTTGCACATGCATCAGACTCAATATAACTCAACCCAAGAACTTCCTCTTGCTGCTGCTCAGAAGTATAGAAAAACATCTCTGTTTTCGCTCCGCCATGTTATCTCAGCCTAAATCTTGATCTCACTGTTGACTGTCAGATGAACTATTTAACAATGTCTTGGTGCTTCTTCTTCTGAATAGGCACAGAAGATCTGCATTTTAGACTGAAGGCTTCTCCTTCATACCTCCTAACGAGCTCGCCTTCATACCACATCTGAAAATCTCATGAAGTTGTCCTAGAAACCATCTTCTGATATGTAGGACAATTAAGCCTCCAGCTGTTGCTGGTAAGCGATGTATTGGCTGTCAGACTGTGGGTGTTTGTGACACTCATTTGACTGTTGAATTCAATGAACTAAGTTCACCTCACTGGCAGAAGTTCTACATTTTCAAAATGAATTATGCTATATAAACCTTCCCATTTTTCAGGTTATTTTCTAACCTGTTTCTTCCATCTTGCTGACAATTTTGACTAAGATTTCTGTGCTTTTGTAGCTCAAATGTCCGCAGCTATCAATGATCCTCCTGAGTGTATTACAGTATCGTAAAAGTTGCACTTTAGTAAAGTCTTATGGCTTGCGATTTAAAATAAAATTTTGGTCTTTTCACAATTTTGAGGCTTGTTTTGGTGCCGTTTGGTTACGGGTTTTGTTTTTTCTTCTTCCTCTCCTAACCATGCATGATAGAGTGTGACGCTATCGGATATTACATTTAGACTTACTTCTCAGAATCCTGTAAGTCATCTAAAGTTATTTACGTTTTCTTCTCTTTTTTAGACTCTGACAGTCGTAGCTCATCCTCTTTCTTTTTTTATTCAAATTTTTCATAACAACCAATAATGCAATAACAGCCAATAATATAATGGTTGCCAACAAGGTAATAGTAATTTTGAACCAATATCAGTAATGTATCAAGTTATTACATTAAAAAGCTCTGCTAAAGGCTTATGCCATTACTTCAGCTGATAATGTGAGAATAAAATTATTTCTTGCAGTTCATATATAATAATGGGTAAATTATTTTTCATCGTCAACATAAGGATTCAACATGTGTATGCTCACCGTATTATTATGAACTACATATATTACCTTAAGATATGTAGTTATAATAAAGGAACTATATGTAGTTCATAATATATAATATCTGTAGTTCATCATAAGTATTTGTAGTTACATGCTTAACTACAAAAAAATTGTTTAAGTACATATAAGGCTGCGTTATTTCTTCAAATAAAGTATTGGATGGATTTTTGTACAGAAATGTATTCAGAATATTGTGTAATTCGTTAGATATTTTCATGAATAATTCCATACATGGAAGAATAAAATTAAAATAATGAACATAAATTATTTTTAATATGTTGAGACGTTGAGAATAGTGATCATTTGTTTACCAGTAACTGTACCGTTTCTCATGTAATTGCATTTAAAAAAAAAAAAAAAAAAAAAGTTACTGAGGAGTTATTAAGCTATTGGCTTTATTGCATTTAAATTAGCAAAACTATCAAATTGTTAACTATTACTACATTATGTGTTGATACATGATTGCTTATATCAAAAGCCTACTTTTCTTTATATCATTTTCTTATAAAGTTGATCTGTTTTCTCCCACAGAATCGTCGGGAAATGTCTCTTTTCCAGACGGCTCAAAATCCTGCAATGCCCGCGCAGCACTGGATGAAACGCACAGAGGTCCAGCATGAGTCCAGAAAAATTTTCTATTTTTTAAATACTTAGCAGATAACAGGTGGTGCACAATTCACAGGTAAAGCTGGTGAACTTTAGTGTCTATTTAATATATGTAGTTCACGTTAAGGATTTAACTTATTTGTTAAATTCACCTCGTGTGAATGAGGTTGTTGGTACATCATCAAATTTCCAGATTTTGCCAGATTTGATTATGGTCGTATCAGACATTTCTGTGTGATTATAATTTAAAAAGAGAAGACTTTTTTTTTTTTTTTTTTTTACTTATTTTCTACATTCTTACCCCCAACACAGCCGGTTGTTTTTGTAGCAGGTCGTGCAGGTGACCTTTTTCTTCCGGCAGCATCGCCGAAGCCTGGTAATATCGGATCTGACTCGGCAGAGGAGGAGGTTGCCTCCTTCCCATTGGCTGCAATGGCACATCTTCCTCGTGGATGCCCATGTCCACATCAGCAGAGGCCATGGTGCTTCTTTAACCTAAAGAAATAAACCCATAATTATCTATATTAACTGTGCTGTTTTTAAAAGTTGTTTTTATTTTATTTATTTATTCTTTTTTTTTTTTTTTTACTTTTTTGACAGTTGCCAGACAGGAAGGGCAAAGGAGAAGATGTGCAGGATGGCCTAGTCAAAGACTACATACAGCCTTTGTAAATAAATGGGTCCGCTCTACCGCTACGCCATGCGGTGCCTCCAATTTCTCTATTTATGTGCTTCTGTTTCACTTTAGCAGTGTTATCAAAATATGACAATTACAACTTCAAGATGTTGTTAGATTGTCCGGAAAAACTGCAGTTTAAGTACATATAAGGCTGCTCTTTACCGAAGTTAAAGAGTGTAGTCCTTCTAGAATGTAACTTCTGCTTTACCCTTGGGTAAAACAGAACATTAGAAATGTATTTAAATAATCAAACATATTACGACAGATTTAAAAAAAAGTGAAAAATGTGACTAAAAAACACAATTATTTAAAAGGTGGAAATATGCTGCGTCCTGCACAATCTTAACGGTCAACAGACGTGGTGCTGTGGAGGTGCAGGGGCGACCCACGTATTGAGGCCTTAGTCCTCGTGGCGGTGGTAACAGGTTTGCTGCATTTCTTCCCCTCATTCATTACCCTCTTTCCTGTTGAACTACTTTCAAATAGAGGCCACTAGAGCCAACAAACCTTTAAAAAAAATGGAGGAAATCAATGCCCTAGAATCTGTCAGAAGAGTTCAAAACATCTACAGAATCCTCGATGCTTTGAATCCAGAGTGGGGTTTCCACAATCAGTGATGTCGGGGAGAGGCATGTCACCCGCAGCTCTTTTACTCTTTATTAGTCTTCATAGTTTGTTCCTTCTCTATTTGAGGAACCGTATGAAAAATAGCGCACTTTTAATCAATGTTATATAAGAGTTTCACTGTTTGAACTGAAATATTAAAATCAACAAACTTTTCAAACATTTTCTGATTCACACTGTATTGTGCACTCCAGTGTGACAAATTTAAGCAAAAGAAGACTTGACTAATTTATGTATTTCTAGATCATAGAAGGACTGCATATGATTTTAGAAAACAGCAACTGTGAAGAAATGGTGGCCTTCTAGTTCCTGTTATTTAAGGTCGATATAATAAATGCTTTTATATGGTTAATCCTAAGAGAATTTAGTCTTTGCATTCGGAGTTCTTACAAAATTTACAATGGGAAGACATTTATATTATTGTTGCCTTTGGTTATTATGATAATAGAATGCTTAAAATTCACACACTAATTCAGCTCATTTTTGATTAAAAAAACAACTAAAAACTAAAAACTGCAAAACAACTCTTAACCAGAAAAAAGAAGTGTGCTGATGCTACAATATTTTATCACAAAAGTTGCAACATAGCTTCATAATTACACTTGCAAACAAATAACTAAGATACATATCGCATACTCGTAAACTGCTTGTGATATAACATTGTTCAAGAAATCTCAGCCGTTTCATTAGGAGAATAAATTATTTTTAAAGTACAACTTACCGTGTTTCACTCAAGCAGAATCTATTTCTCTCTCTGTCTCAAGCAAGGCGTCACTCTACAGACATTTATTGTATTCACTTCCCTAAAACACACATGAGGTCATTACCTACTTTAACTTCCTCAACCTGACACTCCTCTCTGCAAAATTGCTTAATTTAATCAAACTCTGCACTTTTTTATGTTTCCCTCACTGAAAAAGAAGCACTCTGCAGAAATAAACTCATGCTGCACAAACAGTCTCACCTTTTAAAAGTGCATGTTTTTCTAAGTCTGCTTGGTTGCAAACCTTCATGTGGTTGTGAGAGATGGTGGGGGTGTTGCGTGAAGGTGGGGAGTCAGCGAGAGAAGAGAATTAACATTCGAGGTCATTTCCTCTTCGGACAAGTGAGACACAGCTGCAAGTTTCATGTCTGGATCGAGCAAAGCAACGACGGAAAGGTGAAGCTGGCATCAGTGAAAACTTTAGAAACTGATCACTATCAGCAACATGAGCTGCATTAACTTTTTATGACTTTACAGAACAATGAGGAAGACGTTTATTTGCAACGAGTCAATGATCATCACCATCCCAATCGGAAGCCTGAAGAACATTCAGGAGGGTCAGCTGATGCCGGAGAACTTCCACTGTGTGTTCAGGGACAACTTCAAGGTGTTTGTTGTTCGAGGAAAGCCAAAACCTCTGGGGGTGAGTTTCACTGACTTTTGTGAATGAAACTGCCTATGTAATTTAAATTATAGGCATGTGCTTCTCTCTCAAAAGAATACGCAGATTTCCCTTTGTTCTCTCTACTTATTTATTCGTATTATTATTATCATTTTATTAGGCAGCTCAAGCAATTGCTGGTGTGTTTATTTTCGCTCTTGGGTGGATTCTGCCGTCAATGGGGATCTTCATTTTCACTCTTCCAAGTGTTGTGGTAAAAATATTTGAAATGGACACATATTTAACCATTATATTTAATTGTTATATTTACACCCAATTAATGTGATGTTTTGTTTTGTTAGTTCTTGATCTCTGGCATGGTGACCTTTGCTGCAGGGAAATGTCCAAACATGCATGTGGTAAGTCAGATGAATTACAATGAAAAAACATAAGAGGAGTTTCTCTGAGAAAAGACGAAGAGTGTTTATTTTTGGCACGGCTTCCATGAGAATAATGCATTCATTTCAATTCTATTTATATTATATTTCTAAATGATGTGGTGGTTTAACTTCATATAAAACCTTACAGCCTATGATGCATCTTGTGTTGCGTAATCTGAATGTTAACTCAGCTTTATTCCCCTTTCCAGGCCAAACTGTCATTCTCCCTGAACATCATCTGCTTCTTCTGGTCACTGGTGGCTTTTGGTTTCTCCGTGACCATGTTTAATTCATATTATTTATTTGACCAGGTATAGCACAAAATCAATGTGTTTCATTCTATCAAATGTTGCTCTGGGATTCTAAGTATTTGTTTGTCCACATTATTTAGCATCATTTGAGGATAGCTCATGGAATTAATGGCATCATCGTAACTCTGCTGGTGTTTGAATGCATGATGGCGCTCTTCTTGATCTACTGGCTGAGTAAAGCTGTGTGCAGAGAACATTTCAACACCTTGGTATGTGTGTTATTTCCTTCATTACTTTTTCTGCCACATATATGAAAACATGTGGAGACATTCCTTTGCTTTGTTTTGCTCTGCAGCCCATCATATTGCTGAAGCAGGAGGACTGAGTGATGAACACAGAGCAGAACCAGGAATAAACAACTCCTGTGTACGTTTTTAGTTTGCTGCCTTAAACTTTCTTTTTTTTTTTTTTTTGCTCAAAGGCAAATAACAGGACAGTCTGTTTGAAAGAACATGGAGATAAGGTGTATTCCAATACATCACTGCTAATAATCACAGTACGCTATAGAAAGCGTGCGCCTGTAAAGTTCCTCTTTGTTCGCCATACATGGACTCCTCTTGACGGTCGTGTGTTAGAATAGCTTTTGTTCCGCTGTATCATCTGATGGCGGCACAGCGTCTCTCAAATGACTTTACACTTCCTTTAAGTTGTTTTCAGTTCGTCCGAAAACATAGATTTCTTCTAACAAAGTGTTGACAGAAGCTTCATTTTACATGTGGGTTATTTTGTGTTTTAAAGCTGAAGGTCTTGATATCAGCCCTTTGCAAGTTACAGAATAAACTATGTAGAAGCATATCAGTCCTGTCTAAAGCTTAACATATTCTTACTAATAAATCCCTTAATATTCTATATAACTCTCTGATTTTGACATGTTTAACATATTGTTCAGAGTTTTGGGCGATTAATCACAAGACCTCTTTACAATCACTGAGTGTCCTACAGAAACGAGCCATTACAATCATCCATAATGTTGGTAAATATGAGGACACAAACTCATTATTCTTAAAATCTAAAAGTCTTAAATTTGAAGATGTGGTGGAAGATCTCAAACTATGTTTAAGGCATCAAATAAGCGGCAACATGAGCACATATAGAGCATGTGTTTTGAACAACAAGGAGATGAAACTTAAGGGCTTACTTACGATTCATAGTATATGCACAACAAGAGAGAGCTTTTGTGTTTCAATTCATGGGGTAAAATTATGGAACAAGTTAAATGAGGAGTTAAGGTCAAAATTTACTACAATGTAACAGGAAATATAAGGAGGTCATTTTCACAAGATATAGAAATATGGGTGACAGCAAAATGTATACATGTAAATTGAGGCGAACGCATTTGAGTGAGGGTTTGGATGTATAGATGTATATATTTGAACATGTGTATGTCCAGATAAAATGGAAAATTAATTAACCTGTGTTTATTTTTTTATTTCTTTTACTTGATTTTATAATGAGGGTCCATGTGAAAATATGGTATGAGTTCATGGTGTAAAGAGTTCAAGTTTCATACTTCTTCCTACAACTTTTTTAGCATGTTTTAGATTATTGTGGTGGAAAAATATGTGTTTTGCATTCCTTGTTCTTATGTGCATTTTTATATTTCCATCATGTTGGAAATGAATAATTTTCACCTATCTGTGATAAAATAAACAAATGAATACTGAACTCTGTGGCTATTTAAAACATGAACAAGCAAACAAAAGTTTGCTTGTTCATGTTTGTAAATCATTTTGTCACATTTATCAACTCATCTCTGAAAGTGGGTGGTTTGTTAGTGACTTGTCTTCTTCCTGAACATAAAAAGAAAAAAAAAAGGACATAAAAATATTTGATGTATGAACGACACACTACCAATCGGCATTTGTTAAATTTTATCGATATTTAGATATTGATTTACTGTCATTTGTTCAACTGAAAAAAACATATGGTGTTTGTTTATACAAGGGTTAGATCTGCAAAGGGTGAAAAGAAGGTAACTGCCCCGTTAAGAACGCTGCCCCCCTCAAACGTTTTGTCATCAAAATCCTTCTGAAGCATGCATAAAAACTAAACACTTTTTCACCAGAAGCCTCTTATAGCCTTCAAATTAATTTAGGTTTATTAAATCTTCTACTCAATAAAACTCAGTTACGTCCCTGCACTGTCTTCCACTTTGGGGACGCACACGCTGCTGGGTCACATTGAAATTAAAGAGGCAGTCTGTCTGCAGCCCAGCAGAGTGGAGCAACTGAGCCGGCCAAAGTTCTCCAGGTAATGTTTTAATACACAAAGTTAAAGTCCAACTAAGTTTGCGATGAATTAAATGTCTGTCGAAGATGAAGGATGGTTTAATACGTCCATTATTGGCTTGTAGCTGACTTTTAGGAGCTTTAACAGATTCCCCTAAATTTGCTTACAATAAACACAATAACAGAATTGTTGAAATATAAAAAACATAATTAGAGCTGTTTTACTGATGTCTCTATTAGAACAATGTCACATTAATGCGGTCACACATTTAAACTGCTGCACACTTATTGTCAGACTGTGAAAAAAGATAGACTACAATGACAAAAAGTGCTTGTGTGAAAGTGCTAAATTCACACAATTTCATTTTGTCATAAATTTTTTATGAGATAGCAATTAAAAAAAAAATGTGTCACTCGCAACCTACAGACAGGAAAAGGATTTAAAAGTAGGCACAAGTCTTGTTTGGCGGCAAAACAATGGAAGTAAGACCAGGAAGAAGAGAAGACAAGAACTGAAGAAGGAAATATTTCAGAGAAACGAGGAAGATCACATTTGAAGAAGACCGCTGAAAGAGCAACGGGTGAAAACCTAGATGAAAATAAAGAAAATATGTGAGTGTAAGAGGTGAAATGAGAAAGTTTCAGAGGCTGAGAGAGAGAAAAGGTTTACAGAGGAAGCTCATGAAGGAGAAAAGCAGTGCACTGATTCAGGGATGGTAGTTGTAAATCCATGGTAATCATTCAACTCTACAATTTCAGACAAATGTATACATATTTAGTAACTTCCGGTGGCCCTTCCTCGGACCACATGGTCCACACGGACCATAAATGACCACAAGAGGGAGACAAATCCAAAGCAAGTCAAGCTGTTGGAACTGTGATATCATGAAGTTACAGGTAGAATCGTTTTTGTCCTGGCCTGTTTTCAAAAGGCTGCTAAATTTTATTGACCCACAATTCAGAAGCACCTACTTGATTTTTAGTTTTGCGTGAATTTTGATTTTGTTATTGGTTTTGTCAGTTTTAAGTTATTCCAGTGACCAGTACGGGTCGTTTGGTCATTTACAAAGAGGCACCAACAGATAGCAGAAGTCAGCTTTTCCAATCCAAGTTCAGAGAAAAGCTTGTCCATGCATTCATCATTTTTACAAAATTTTTAAGTAGAAAAATGCGTAGGATAACTATGACGGTTATATAAAATTTAAGTAGTTTTTTATTTTATTATTTTTTACTTTACAACAAAGATTGTGCTACACCAGAGGAAAACAAAACAATCCAACAAGAAATTAGTGTCACAATATTCTATTTGTAAATCTGTAACATTTATTTGCAATTTTGTTTTAAAAAAATTATCCTAATTTAACTCAGTTTTGGCACAACAAAAAGTGACACAAACAACAAAAGTAAAACACTTTTTTACCAGAAAAGATAATATACGATTAGAAATCTACTGCTCCGATAGTAGATTTCTAATTTAACATGCAAATAAATTTATGAATAAATAGAAATATTTAAATAAAAATAAAAATAGAACATATTGAAACTCATAAACTTCTCCTGGCTGTACTGTAAAATATATATTTTTTAATCTTTCTATTTCTTTCTAATAAAAAAATATATTTTAAAACAACATTCATACCGTGTTTCCTTTGATCTCTATTTATTTCGCTCTCTGTCTCAGCAAGATTATCATCTCACCATTTTAATTTCATCGTAAAAAACATTAAACTGAAAGTTAAAGGAGGTCTTCACCCTCTTTAACCCTCTCAGGTTCAAATTATTTGCAAAGACTAGCTAAGTATCATTTAGATGTTGCAAATCTGAAACATCTGCCTGGAGAGGGTTAACTTCCTCAACATGACACACCGCACTGCAAAAGGACTTAATTTGGTCAAAAGCAGCTCTGTGGGTTTTTGTCATTTTTTTCTCTTTAAAATCATGTTGTGGTTGGGGTAAGTAGTGTTTAATGTCATTTCCTCATCAGATAAGTGAGAGGAAACTGCAAGTCTAAATTGAGCAAAGGAAGAACAGAAAGGTAAAGCTGTCTTTAATGAAAACATTTGATCTGCATTTGGTTGTGTCTATTATCTTCTACTCTTTAAGTCAAATGAATCGTGGAGGTTTTAGAAATAATTTTACTTAAATGTGTGTGTAAAAGGTAAATTTACACTAGTGAGTCGTGTTTTATAAATGTCAAACTTCCAGGAGTTGAATAAACAAAGAGTTTTCAGTTTCCAGGCAGGAATGTTTCCAGTGAACTGAGATGGAAGGAAGTGTGTTACATTGATCCGACTCTTGTGTGTTATTAAAGCAAATGTTCATGTTAATGTAACCATCATTTTGCAAAGCTTGAGGATAAAGTCATGTCAATCTAAATGTATTTGCGCAGAATTCATTGTGATGTTGCATAAGATTATCAGATCAGAATTTTTGTTCATGGAAGTTGAAACAAGAATTTAAATTATTCTAATGGAAAATAAGTAGTTCTTTTAACTTGTAATGAGAGTATAAATAACAGGAATGTGCGCTCCATTTTGAGCATATTGTAAAATAAACACTTGGTTTAAATTCCAGTATTAAGTTAAAAGTCACATTTCAAGATTAATGAGCTATCTCATTAATAAGTGACTACAAGAGGGAGACAAACAATGTTTAGACAACTTATCTCTTTAATTTCTGAGTTAAACCCAAAACAATCTTGTTGACTTTAATTGAATTTTCAAGTTAAGCCACCGTCCATTTTTTTTTTTTCCAAAATATATTTTTTAGGGTTTTATTAACTCTAGTGTCCTTTATTTAAGAGTGATTATACAGGAAACTGGGTAATGAGAGGGGGGGGGAGACATGTCACCCAGCCAGGACTCAAATCTGTGATGTTCACTTTGAAGACTAAGGCCTCCACGTGTGGGTTGTGCTTTGCCCCTGCACCATCACAGTACCTTCAGTTTGGTTGTTTTTTTAAGTGTAATAACTGATCACTATCAGCAACATGAGCTGCATTAACTTTTTATGACTTTACAGAATAATGAGGAAGACGTTTATTTGCGATGAGTCAATGATCATCACCATCCCAATCGGAAGCCTGAAGAACATTCAGGAGGGTCAGCTGATGCCGGAGAACTTCCACTGTGTGTTCAGGGACAACTTCAAGGTGTTTGTTGTTCGAGGAAAGCCAAAACCTCTGGGGGTGAGTTTCACTGACGTATGCTGTAAATGAAATCATAGGCATGTGCTTTTCTCTAAAGAAACATCAGCCTTTTTTGCTGTATTCTCTTTAATATCTTTTTCTTTGTCTTTACATTAGGCAGCCCAAGCATTTGCTGGTGTGCTTATTTTCACTCTTGGATTTATTTCCATGGACATACGCATCATCATCTTCAGTGCTACAAGTATTGTGGTAAAGACATTTCCAGTGGTCACAAATTAAATCATTCTGTTTATCTGATGTGGTTTTAATTTCACCCAGTTAATAAGATGTTTTGTTAGTTCTTTTTCTCTGGGTTGGCTTCCTTTGCTGCAGGGATATGTCCAGACATGCATGTGGTAAGTCACACATTCTGGGATTTTAAGGAAAGCATAAAAGATTGAAGATGTTCCTCTAAAAAAGAGGCAAAAGTTTATTTTATTGGCATGTCTGATTCAGAATACTACATTTATTTCTCTAAATATATTGTGAACTGGTTTGTTCTAATAACCCAAAGCTTTACAGCTTATGCTGTATCTTGTGTTGAAGTTATTTGCATGTTAACTCAGCTTTATTCCACTTTCCAGATTAAACTGTCATTCTCCCTGAACATCATCAGCTTTTTCTGGTCACTGGTGGCTTTTGGTTTCTATGTGTTCTTATGCATTTTGGACTTTTTTGAGACTGATTGGACTTACAAAGTAAGTATGTTTTATTCAGTCAAATGTTGCTTTGCAGGACTCTAAGTATTTGTTTCTATTTTCTCTTTTGTGGTAGGAGTTCCTTAATGGAATTATCGGTCTGATCATAACTCTGTTAGTCTTTGAATGCATGATGGCACTCTTCTTGATCTACTGGCAGAGTAAAGCTGTGTGCAGAGAACATTTCAACACCTTGGTATTTTCTTATACATTTCTACTCAACATGAGACAAAACATGCTTAGTCATTAATTTGCTTTGTGTTTTTCTGCAGCCCATCATAACGTTGAAGCAGGAGGATTCCATGATGAACACAGAGCAGAACCAGGAATAAACAGTTCCTCTGTAGTGCTTAAACTGTAACAAGATTTTTGCCAATTTTGTTCGTTTTTGTCTTTTCTTTTTTTGCTTCAAAGTAAAATAATAGGACAGTTTGATTGAAAGCACACAATCATTCCAATTTGCATTACATAATAATGTGGAGATTTCTGCATTCTTCCTTTTTGTTAAATAAATATAGGCCACTAATTATAGCAATGCGTTATAAAAGCTTTTATTCACATGCCACAGCAGAAACAATGTTACAGTTGCCTGAAGTTTTGCTCGACCTTTCCAAAAACAAAGTGCACAATATGTATAGAGAAGCTTTGGATATGGGACATTTTGTGTTTTGAAAGGTTTAATCCTTAATCCAAAAGGCTTATGCCTTTTGCAAGATTAAATGTAAAAAAACAAACAAACAAACAAACAAACAAACAAACAAACCCGTAAGTAAACTGTTGCTAGCTTTGGGTGACGATTCTCCAGGAAATGAACGATTTTTCTGAACGATTCACATCACGGGGAACTCATCGGAAGCCAGAGGTTCAGTTATGAGTGGCCACAAGAGGGAGACAAACACAAAGCAAATCATGCTGTTTTTTTCGACATTCCTTGGAAGTCGCTGTTTGTATTCCAGAAAAAAGGTTTTATTAAAACTTTCAAAGCTCAGTTGTCTAAAACTCTTCATTGGTGAGAAGTTTTGTGTGAGCAACAACAACAAAAAAACTAGATAATTTTGTTTGTTCGGTTTTAGACATGAATTCTCCTCTTCATTTCATAAAATGTTTTATGAAATGAAACAATTTATGAAATTGTGTTTAATGTTACACCTGTAGAAACTGAAGTGATGACTCAAGTAGATTTTTTAAAGCTATTTGTCATGTTAAAGTCCTTCAGCTGAAAACTCACATGATGTGCCAGTTCTGACTGAACAACCTTACCGCGCTGACTCACTCGAACAATTAGGGTCAGAATGTTTTAGCAAAGGACATGGATATCTCTCTGCATTTTTGGGTACTTGGTATTTTTGGGGTTTGTTCTGAAAAAGAACAGATTGTATCACTGAGCAACAGTCCAGTCCTTTTTCTCCTCATCCCATGTAACATTCTTCTGACATGCCTGGTTCAAGAGTGGGAAACTTGACAAAGCACAAAATATCTGAAGGACTCAGTGACTGGCAAATTTCACTTTAAAAAATGATTTTAAAAAAATCACAACTGCTCATAATCTATCTGACTGCCACAAAGAATCAAACTCTTCAATGCTTTGCCTCACAATCATCTGAAGGCTAGTATTTTCATAAATATTCTCCATTTAAAACCTCTTTTTCATTGGGCTGATGAAATAATCAGAAAAAAAGAGTATACAAACATTCTTCATGAGTTTAACTAATTGAACTAATTAAGGGATTCAATTACATTTTTGATCATTTAAACAGTTCATGCGACAATTTGAAGTAAAGAGTCATCTGGATACGGAAAGAACCGATTCTTATCGGTGATACGAGTCAGAAGAACCAGATCCCTGCCAGGAACTCTAATTCCCATCCGCGGTCCCAGCGGCTCGTTCGCACATAACGACGAGGTAGAAACGAAACTGTTCCGCAAACCCATCATCACCTAAACTGAACGTTTTCCCCTGGAACCGTGTCTCCTCTCTGAGCTCACCGCTTTCTGCTTGCCAGTTAGTTATGTAACTTTATATAATCATTTTTTCTCTCGTTGCCTCCTCCTCTGACCCGGTGGCCGCGGATCACGCTGTCATGTCGCCCCAGCTGCAGTGAGGAGCCGCCGTCGCTGCTCCTGCTCCGCTGGCCGCTTCCGCCCAGCCAATGGCGTCCGTGTACAGCGGATCCCATACGTTGAGCAAGGATGATGTCAACTACAGGATGCATTTCCGAATGATTAACGAGCAGCAGGTCGAGGATATCACCATCGAGTTTTTCTATAAACCGCACACCATAACGCTGCTGACATGCACGGTGCTCAGCTTGATGTATTTCGCGTTCACAAGGTGAGAGGAGTCCGCCGCTAACTCTAGCCTAGCCTAGCCTAGCTTAGCGTCAGTGATGCTGGAATACAGGAAGCTCGGCTAGCGAGCTTTTGGTGGCTCTCTGGGCTTTTTCCTCGTCGTTAGCATCATTTTTAATCTTTAAAGTAATCAAACATGGGCTACAAAGTAGGCGTTGTGTAGGTTGTGTTGTTTTTCTTTCGCCGCAACATTGTAGGAACAAGTGATAAACATTTCATTTTTAGCTCAATGTGGCGTATTAGTTCATGTTTTGTTATCTTGGAGCCTGAGGTACATATTCACAGTAAAGGCAATATAAACTGTGGTTACGCAATGGGCCGGGCTGCGTGTCATACTTCAGTGTTATTAATTAGTGATTGTTTTTTTTTCATCCTGTCTGCAGAGATGATGGAAATCCCGACAGTAATGTCTGGGTGGGGCTCATCCTGGTCATCTCCTTCTTCCTGGTCATCAGTGTTTTGGCATTTCCCAATGGTGAGGGCACAACATAGGTCGCAGGAATTGTGGATATCATTTTGTGCAGTAATGTGAGTAAGGATGGCTGAAGACGTCAATCAGCCAGAGAGAGAGAAGTTTGTCATGCAAGTTCATGCATCTGCAAGCAAGAAACCTGCAGGCATAATGATTGAAGTCCTTGTCTGAGAAATACACCAATCTGATTTAAAGCAACCCTGATTTTTTTTACCGGCTTTAAATTACTAAAATATCCCTTGTGTGTTTTCTGATCATGTTGAAAATTTAGCCGGGTTCGCAATAAATTGATTACAGTTAAATAAAATGCTATTTTCTTTTCTACAAGTGCAGGAAAATCTTTTAGTTCACTGAACAGAGGTTTAACCTGCCACAAGATTTTTCTGCAAAATCCTTTGAAAATGAATAACAATGGAGTACAACATAATATTTGAGAGTAAATAAACTCTAGTTTGCCTTCATGTGTCAGACCGTTAAATCATTGACTAATTTATTGTACCTACAGAGAATTTTTAAATGGCTTCTCTTCGATCGTTAATTATTTATGACTACCAGAGGCGTGGTTACCTTGTGTAATCACGCCTGTGTGTGTGTGTGAAAGAGTTTGACAAGATTTCAATTGAATTTCAAAACAGATACAATTATTGACATCTTTAACTGTCTTTAGTATCTTAGTGAGGGATTAATGTGGCTAGCATTACTTTTATTGGAGCGTAACTTTATACAAAAACAGGATTCTGTACCTTACTTTAAAAGTGTGGCGCATTTTCCTTCAAAAAGTGGTCAGTATTAATCTGACGGAAAATATAGATTAAATCTAAATCTGCATGGATAGATCAATAACAAAAGCAGAGTCAAAAGGTTTTCATCTTACATCTTTGTCTTAGATACCAAAGCAGGCCTTCACTGACCTTGTGTAGTCCCTGACATCTCAAAGCAATGTGTGGTTGAAAACAGAAGATCTACTAAACATTATAATGGTGATTGTAATATTTAGTTATTAAAATCTCCTTAATCGAGTTTTAAAACTGCTTTTTTACAGTAAAGGAAGTACAAAATTTGTCTGTATGTAGGAGGAAAGAGCAGAACATTTTAACAGAGGCGTGAATAGCGTCTGTCAGTGGTGTCACTCTTGCTGTCTATTGTTAGTACAAGGCTTAGGCTGGCTGAAACCCGTCAAGTACCTCCACTACGAGCTCAGATCTCATCAGTGAAGCAGTAAATCTTGGCTCAATCAGAGATTGGTTCCCATCATTTGACATATTGTCTTAATAAATCTGCTTTCAGGCCCCTTCACCAGGCCGCATCCAGCAATATGGCGAATAGTGTTTGGTGAGTGTCTAGCGAAAGTATTTCAGAGCAAAAATAAAAAATTTTGTCATAGATTCTTTCCTTGCTGAAGGTCATGTTCTTCTGTTTTTAAGGTCTGAGTGTGCTCTACTTTCTGTTCCTGGTTTTCATCATCTTTCTCAACTGGCAGCAAGTGAAGCAGCTCATGTACTGGTTGGATCCCAACTTGCGCTATGCCAAGAGAGAGGCAGACATTATGGTGTGTGATAGTAAATAGTGAAAAATTAGGTTCTCGACCATTTATCTTCTGCTCCCGCCATCGACGGGGATAGTCTTAACGCGGCTGTCTGTGCCATCACCTGCAGGAGTATGCGGTGAACTGCCACGTCATCACCTGGGAGAGAATCCTGAGCCATTTTGACATCTTTGCATTCAGCCATTTCTGGGGCTGGGGCATGAAGGCCCTCCTCATCCGAAGCTACGGCCTCTGCTGGACCATCAGCATCACCTGGGAGCTCACGGAGGTAAACAAACACTCCAGACAATAAAAACTCTGCAGCTGTGAGCCTCCTGGCTGCCTGCCTGTCTAAATCACCAAAGCTTGTGATGTAATGTATTTATGTAACGGAGCAAGAGCCAGATTAGTTTGACATTAAATATTAAATTCAGATTTTACACTCGTGGTCTGGTCTCCAATTATAATTGTCTTTTTTCCTGAATTCAACAGCTTTTCTTCATGCATTTGTTGCCCAACTTTGCGGAGTGCTGGTGGGACCAGGTGATCCTGGACATCCTCCTGTGTAACGGAGGAGGAATCTGGCTCGGGATGACTGTCTGCCGCTTCTTGGAGATGAGGACGTACCACTGGGCCAGTATTAAGTATGAATCTACACCCCAGAATTTATCAGCAGCCGTTTCACATCAGCGTTTTGTCTTTTAGCTGTGACCTCCTGGTACTGATTCTTGTTCGTTCTAATTTCTCTGTAAAACTATAACAGAACTTAACAGAGTCATTAGTTATGCCAGAAGCGAAGGCAAAGTCACTGTTTTTTTCAGAGAAAATGATTAAGACAGATTTTTTGTAATATTTAAATGAAAATGCAAAATAAATAATAAGTTAACATTTTAATTTGTCTTAAGCGTAGTATATTAGCTCCTATATAGGGAAGCATTACTGAAATGAAACTAAGATTTCCAAATGATTCATAACAAAACACTGGTTGAAACGTGAAAAAGATAAAATGGATCAACTGAATTTTACGTCGTTCAGGCTTTCTGTTATCAACTGAAAGTCCTGCTCTCTCTTTCAGGCTGACAGAACTGCAGACTGGTTTTGGGATGTTCTTACACAATTGTGGTTCCTCTGACTTCAAAAATAACTAACTAGCTTACTTTTTTCCACCCAATAATAACTTCCATGCTAGAGATTGTTGATGCTCTCCCCTGGAAGCATGATATGCTGCGTTTACTGATGAAAAAAAATTGATTTTTGAGTTTGTGAACAAGTTAACTCGATTTAAATCCAAACGTACAAGGCGTCAAAAAATAATAAAGCAAACTCAAAAATGTTTCTCTTTTGATAATCTTTATTGTTAATGTTGTATATTTAGTTTATTTTGCAACTTTAGAACATTTGTGTACGATTTAATCCCCTGTATAAAGGGATTACAGATGGGATTCTGAAATTATTTTAAAAGATAATCCCGGAAATTAATCAAAAAGCGAAGTCGAATGCTTGTGTTGTGACGTTTGTTCTGTTTGCTCTCGCTGAAGGCATTAGAATAATATTTTTCATAAATCTGTCAGTAAATCTGTGTAATCCCACTTCTATCCCACTTAATCAGGGACATCCACACCACCACAGGGAAGATCAAGCG